TTCTATCTCTATAGATCTCTATATTCAAAACAAACCACATAAATGGAATCATACAATATGTGGTCTTTTGTGTCTGTTTCTTTCACTTAGCATCGTATCTTAAGGTTCATCCCTGTTGTAGCATGTGTTAGAACTTCATTCCTTTATATTGTTGAATAATTTTTCATTATGTATATATGCTGCATCTGTTTTCTTTATTTTAGGGGAACAAACATTTGAGTTGTTTGTATTTATTATTTATTATATAAAATAGACCTTTTTATCCAGATGGGAGGGAGAGTAATCCACCCACCTCACCCTCCCAAAGTGCGGGATTACAGGCTGAACCACTGAGCCCGGCTAGCATTCTTTATAATAATGAAAAATTGGAAACAACCCAAATTTCCGTCAATAAGTGAATAATTAAATAAATTAATTTATAGACATCTAATAGAATGCTTCACAGTTATTGAAAAGCATGAGGTAAATTCATATATAGTATTGACAAGGAAAGAGAGATACCAGTAAATGAGCTTTATTAAGTGGCTATATGCCAGGATCCATATCTGTGATTTTTTTTTTTTTTTTTTTTTGAGTTGGAGTCTCACTCTGTCACCCAGACTGGAGTGCCGTGGCCACTCCCGGCCACTGCAGCCTCGACGTGCTGGGCTCCGGCGATCCTTCCACCTCAGCCTTCCAAGTAGCTGGAACTACAGGTATGCACTACCACGCCTGGCTAATTTTTTGATTTATTGTAGAGATGAGGTCTCACCATGTTGCCCAGGCGAGTCTGGAACCCGCAGGCTCAGGCAATTCACTCATCTCAGCCTCCCAAGGTGCGGGATTACAGGCTGAGCCACCGAGCCCGGCTTCTGTGATGTTTTAAGTACTTCCCCAAATCCATCTAAGACATCCCAACCACTGCCCGTCCCATCATCAGAAATACAGACCCTGGCAATGTACCTGGAGTTCTCCTTCAAAACTTCCAATGTTTAACTCACAAATATTTACTGAATTCTTGCTGTGGGCAAGAACTCTGCCAGGGGCTGTAACAAAGCAAAAAGAAAGCAGACATAGTTTCTACTCCTAAGGAACTTACAGCTGAGATGGTTTCACACCAAGAGTTTCTTTATCCATTACTCTCAGTATGCCCTGAGAGGCCACTTTAAGGTTGGCAGCTTGGAAAGGGTCTTTCTGAGATGATTTTCTCCCAGCAAATGGAAACAACACATTTTTCTATCTTAGCATCGCAACAGAAAACTGTACCAAGAATTAGCTCAGTGATGACTTAGCCAACACAAACTGGCTTAATACTCACCAAGGTTCCTGGAAGGAAAGAGAGTTCAAGTAAATAAGTCTGTCCGGCTCTCATCAAGCAGAACCACTTCCCTTCTTCCTGGGCTGTACTTCTCTCAAATTTTTTTCTTTGTGCCAAGATATACGCTGAGAATGAGACTATTGTATAACACTTTGAGGTCAGTGAAGACACCTGTTCTCAGATATCCTGAAACAGAAGGACTGATACTTTGGTATACTTTGGTATAGCCCGTTCACGTCATACAATTGTGAAGTTCTGAAGAGGATCAAAGTTGCCCACATAACATGTTCACATTTATGCGGTAAAACAGAAAGCCAAGGCTCAAGCTTATAATCCCAGCACTTTGGGAGGCTGAGGTGAAAGAATTGCCTGAGCCTGGAGTTTGAGATCAGCCTGGGCAACTTGGTGAGACTGCATCTCTACAATAAATCAAAAGATAGCCGGGCATGGTAACGCATGCCTGTAGTTCCAGGCAATTGGAAGGCTGAAGCGGAAGGATCCCCTGAGCCCAGAAGATCAAGGCTGTAGTGGCCATGGGCGTGTTATTGCACTCCAGCCTGGGTGACAGAGTGAGACTCCAACTCAAAAAAAAAAAAAAAAAATTGGGTACTTTCTGCAGGATTGTTAGGGTTGGTGACTTGTAACAACTGGTATAGTGTGACCCTCCCACCCTTACACCTACCTTGGTTGCTGTGCTGGGAGCATATACAAGAGAGCTGAGATCAGGAAAAGGCTCTGCCCTCCTTCCCAGGCATTTTGACACCTACTTCTCTTGTCTCTATATTTGCGTTTTCACCTAACCAATGTGGAAAGGAAATTTAACAGATGTGATGGGAGAGTGGAGCAGCTATGTGATCACCTGGAGGCCATTGCCCATGTCCCCACCCCTCAGCTAGCACCTTCTCACCTCTATTTTCTTCTCTTTTGTTCTCTTGACCAACTTAGTCTAATACTGTCCTCCACTTTCAATCTTTAGTTGGGATGGTGGATACCAGCATCAGCCTATCTTTGAAGTGTTTCTAATTGGAATGAATGTGAGAAAAACTATGTCCCAGGAAGAGAGAAGGAAAATCAGAGAGGGAAAACCCTTGGCTGTCTTACTGCTCACCTACTTTAGATCCCTGTACAGGCTTTGTTTAAAATGAAAAGCCAGGCCGGGCTCTGTGGCTCAGCCTGTAATCCCAGCACTTTGGGAGGCCGAGGCAAGTGGATTGCCTGAGTCTGTGGTTTCAACACCCACCCAGGCAACTTGGTGAGACCTTGTCTCTACAATAAATAAAAAATTAGCTGTGCATGGTAGCATGCACCTGTAGTTCTGGCTGGAAGGCTGAGGCGGAAGGATCACCAGAGCCCAGCAGGTTGAGGCTGCGGTGGCCAGTAGCGTGCCACTGCCCTCCAGCCTGGGCAACAAAGTGAGACTCCAACTCAAAATAAATAAATAAATAAAGTAAAATGAAAAGCCAGGTGGGCATGGCGGCTCACACCTATAGTCCTAACATTTTGGAAAGCTGAGGGAGGAGGATTGATTGAGCCCAGGAGTTTGAGACCAGTCTGGGCAAAACAGCAAGATCTTATCTCTACCAAAAAAAAAAATTGGCTAGACATGGTGGCATGTACTGTAGTCCTAGCTACTCAGGAGGCTGAGACGAAGGATTACATGAGCCCAGGAGGTCTTGGCTGTAGTGGGCCGTGATCATGCCACTACACTCTAACCTGAGCAGAAGAGTGAGTCCCTGACTGAAAAAATAAATAAATAAATAAAATGAAAAAAACAGACTTTTCTTTTATAAAACTTAGTTTTTTTCAAAACAGTGATAGACGAGGTATGCACATTTAAACAAAAGAGCCACTACATATGCCTAGAGACAGCTATTTATTTTGTGAATCTAGGGTTCTGCCTATTCACCAGGAAGAAGTGATATCTGTTTGACTATGCTAGTCATCCATGCACAGTCTGTCTTGCCTCTGATTAGTGGTGGATGTTGCTTACTAAGTTGTCTTGGGCATCAGTGGTGAGGAGTCTATGTTCTACCTCAGGAGTACTGACCCAAGAAGAGCTTCATCCGTTTACTGTGTTGAGGTCTTATATTTTCCCTGAAGGAAGAGACAAATCTGCAAAAGTTCAAAGTCCAAAGTTCTAAGCTATGGCCTTTGTGAAAGGGAACCTCATTTCTAAATGTCTTTGTTTAAACATGTCCTAAGTTGCCATTTGGGACCTCCTGTGCAGTTAGGTAAGAACAGCAGCAAATCCTGAAGAGCCTTGTGTTAGTGGAGGAATCTTTCCCTCTCACGTGAAGAAAGATAAAGATAAACCTCATTCTAAAAAACGAAAGCCTCAATCTGCTGAGAATTATTGATATACTGATTAAAACCTGTAATCCCGCACCTTTGGGAGGCCGAGGTGAGTGGATTGCCTGAGCCCGCGGTTTCGAGACCCGCCTGGGCAGCGAGACCTCATCTCTACAATAAAATCAAAAAATTAGCCGGGCGTGGTAGCGTGCACCTGTAATTCCGGCTACTTGGAAGGCTGAGGGGGAAGGATCGCCGGAACCCAGCAGGTCGAGGCTGTGGTGGCCGGGAGCAACCACTGCACTCCAGTCTGGGCGACAGAGTGAGACTCCAACTAAAAAAACAAAACAAAACAAAAAACCTGAACACGTCATCTGTGATCTCCAGATTCCCTTTTATCTGATAGATATGTAATCAAGGTCTTGTTTCATTGATAAGCTTGTTCCTTGAAAGAGTTGGCCATATTGGTCAGTATCGGCCTCACCACCTTGAATTCAGGCCCTTGCCTCACGGTACTCTAATGGCTTCTGTGGATTTTCTCTGACACCAACAGTGCCACAGTAAAATCTATCTGGCTCTCCCTCTGCTGCCTTTGATGGGATCAGCTGCCAGACTCCCAAAAGGGTGAGAACATGTCAATGTCGCCCCTTGGCTATAAGCAATACCCTTGGGCAACCATGGAGTCCCTCACCATGACCATCTCTTTTCAGACATTGGACTCTACATCCAGCAACCCACAGTAAATGTCACATGGATGTTCCACATATACCACACAACCAAAAGTGAACTCTTGCCATTGCTTCCCAGACCTGTCCCTCCTGTTGTGCTCCTTCCCCGGGAACTGAACAAGGGACTGGGTGCTGCCTCACTCCTCCCATCCGCCCTTCATGTCCAGTCTCCTGCCCTTGTTAGTTCTGCTATTCTCGTCTTGATTCCACTCCACTGTCTAGGGCACCCTGCTCTTGCTGGCCCTTTTAGTCCACTTTGACCTTTCTCCATCCTAACCTCATCCTTCTTTCTAAACACAGATCTGATCACCTCTTTTTCCTCATAAACCCTTTTATAGTTCTCTGCTCTCCCTCCTCCCAGGAAGGTCCTGGTCCTGATCATAACTTGTGCTGCTCTTCATAACCTGGCTCCTGTTGACCTAAAACTTCAGCTCCTTAATCCTGACTTTATACCACCAAACCCAGGCACAGGATGCTACTCTTTGCACCTAGGCCTTGAAGTATGTTATTCTGTCTGCCAGAAAACACCACTCTCACTTTCCTTACCGGACTCATTCTTGTTTCAGGATTTAGTGTGGGGTCATCTTCAGGAAGCTTTCCCTAACTCCTGCCTTACTCTACATTTATCTACTGTTATTTCTCAAGTTTAACACTTACCATGCTTTATTGAATGATCTGTCTTTGTGCTTTTATCTTCTTTTAGACTGTAAGTTAGCTGACCATGTTTTATTTTGTGTGTGTGTGTTAAATTATAATCTGTAGCCGGGCTCGGTGGCTCAGCCTGTAATCCCGCGCCTTGGGAGGCTGAGGTGAGTGAATTGCCTGAGCCCGTGGGTTCGAGACCTGCCTGAGCAACTTGGTGAGACCTCATCTCTACAATAAATCAAAAAATTAGCTGGGCGTGGTAGTGCGCACCTGTAGTTCCAGCTACTTGGAAGGCTGAGGCGGAAGGATTGCTGTTGCCCAGCAGGTCTAGGCTGCGGTGGCCGGGAGCGGCCACTGCACTCCAGTCTGGGCGACAGAGTGAGACTCCAACTCAAAAATATATATATATATATATAATCGCCATTGGACCATGTCTTATGTATTACTGTACCCTAGCACCTAGTAGATGTTTAATAAATATTTGATCCGAATCGATCATTTCATTCCCGATTTTTGTATGTCAGTAATTAATAGGAAATTCTCAGCTCTCTTCTTCAACTCATGGGGCCCTCAGGTAGATGTAATGAGGGACAATCTTGGTAAAAAGGTGGTAACCTCTGGAAAGCAGTAACTTCAGCAGTTCACCTTATCCAGGGCTGAGAGGCAAATGGGGAGGGCTCCTGAATCCTCATCCCAAGGAATCAGTGTACCCTGATCTACATCCTTAATCACGTCTGGATGGAACTGCCAGTGTCCTCTCTGAGCTCAAGAGCCCCTCAGACTCTTGAATGAAGACCGGACTAGTTTTGCAGTCACCTGGTGGCAGTATACTGAGGCTTGTGGTCCCAAATTTACTGGGATTGATTCCAGCCAGCTTTGGGCCTTGGAAGGAATTTCCACCATCCATGTGGTGATCTGGGGAAGTGATAGACCCTGGAATAGGGTGTTAAACTGCCAGGGTGAGGATGGTGCATTAGCAAAGCAATGGCAGAGTGAGGTTAGGGCAGAGATCCAGAGAAGTGATTTGTTGCCTCAACCCCTGGTGGAGGCCTAAAGTGTGGGGAAAGATATCCATGAGAAAGACATTGGAGAAGCAGCTTTCCGAGCCGTGGTGGGTGATGGTGTTAGAGAGCAGGCCTCTAACACTCTGTGCCCCCATTTCAGAAAAGATGAGTCACAGCAATAAGAGGGAATGCTTTTAACATTTTAGAAACATAGGACTTGAACTAGGATAGGGGGCCCAGGCAGAGTGGAGAGGAGAGGGTTGAAGCTGTGACAGATGAGCCTGGTGCATGTTCCTGATCCCCTCTAGGATTAAAGAGCAGTGTGAGACTGAGACCCAGAGAGATGTAAGTCAAGGCCATGGAGCTTGGGCCCAACCTTTCAACTAGACCTTCCATTAAGCCTGGACTCTAAGCGCCAAAGCCATCCTCCCCTCCAGGGTACCATGTTAGAGTCAGGACTTCAACCTTAATCAGACTAGAATATTGAGGGAGGGGCCTGAGGAGGATGACTGGTTTCCCTTCAGAGGTGTCTTGACTATACTGACTTGCCCTCTCTCTTCTGTCTGCATAGGTGTAGGTGGGGCACTGCCTGCAGAGCAGGTCCTGCCAGCCTTGCTGGAGAGATGCCCACGTGTCCGTGATGGGCTGTGGGACAAGCAAGGTCCTTCCCGAGCCACCCAAGGATGTCCAGCTGGATCTGGTAAAGAAGGTAGAACCCTTCAGTGGCACTAAGAGTGATGTATACAAGCACTTCATCACAGAGGTGGACAGTGTTAGCCCTGTCAAAGCCGGGTTCCCAGCAGCCAGTCAGTATGCACACCCCTGCCCCGGAGCCCCCACTACTGGCCACGCAGAACCTCCCTCAGAACCACCACGCAGGGCCAGGGTGGCTAAGTACAGAGCCAAGTTTGACCCACGTGTGACAGCTAAATATGACATCAAGGCCCTGATTGGCCGAGGCAGCTTCAGCCGAGTGGTACGCGTGGAGCACCGGGCAACCCGGCAGCCATATGCCATCAAGATGATTGAAACTAAGTACCGGGAAGGGCGGGAGGTGTGTGAGTCAGAGCTGCGTGTGCTGCGCCGGGTGCGTCATGCCAATATCATCCAGCTGGTGGAAGTGTTTGAGACTCAGGAGCGTGTGTACATGGTGATGGAACTGGCCACTGGTGGAGAGCTCTTTGACCGCATCATTGCCAAGGGTTCCTTCACTGAGCGTGATGCCACACGGGTGCTGCAGATGGTGCTGGATGGTGTCCGGTATCTGCATGCACTGGGCATCACACACCGAGACCTCAAGCCTGAGAATTTGCTGTACTACCACCCAGGCACTGACTCCAAGATCATTATCACCGACTTTGGCCTGGCTAGTGCCCGGAAGAAGGGTGATGACTGCCTGATGAAGACCACCTGTGGCACACCCGAGTACATTGCCCCTGAGGTCCTGGTCCGCAAACCCTATACCAACTCCGTGGACATGTGGGCGATGGGTGTCATTGCCTACATCCTTCTCAGTGGCACCATGCCCTTTGAGGACGACAACCGAACCCGGCTATACCGGCAGATCCTCAGGGGCAAGTACAGTTACTCGGGAGAGGTGAGTCTGTCCTGCCCCTGTCCTGGTGATGTTGGGTGGGCCCCTGGTTGGGGGATATAGCCTGTAGCTCTCAGTCACAGGGACTTACTCTGAGGGTCATGCTTGTGAAAGCTAGGCAGGTAATGTAAAAGTGAAAAAGTGGGACTAGCAGGGTGTTTTAGTTTGGGTCTCTCTCAAAGTGAGCCCTAAAACAAGAACTTGGGAGCAGATAGTTTATTTGGTACATGATTCCAGTAGCAAGTGAAGGAATGGGGAAAGAGGCAGGAAAGGAAGAATGCCAATAGAGTATATTAAGCATACTGCCACTGGGCCACTGGGGACCTTGAAAATAATCATTCAGAACATACCTCAGAATTGTACTACTGAGGGGCAGGAAAATGGTTTTCTTAAAATCTACTGACTCCTGTCCCTCACTGGTTGAGGATTTATTTGGGGACGTTAAATCCCTGGTGCTTTTGGGCTGCCCTAAATACCAACTTGTGCTGGAGAAAGTCTCCAGGCAGAGAAACAGAGAGAAGCAGGCTTTGGCAGTGTCACTAGGATTGGAGCAGTGTACAGCAGCTGCAGGCAAGCTCAGAGGTGGGCTGAGAGACTGAGATGTGGGCCTCCCCAGCATTTGCTTCATGGGGCCCCAGGCAAGCTAGACTGAACGTGGCCTGTCTCAAGGAACAATTGTTTCTTGTCTCTGCCTACTTTTGCCATGCAACTATGGGGACTTCATGTATTCAGATCTTCTGATTTTTTTTGGAAGAGAAGCCAGAAAATCAAATTTTAAAATGTTGGAGCTGGCTCAGTGGCTCAGCCTGTAATCCCGTGCTTTGGGAGGCTGAGGTAAGTGGATTGCCTGAGCCCGCGGGTTCGAGACCTACCTGGGCAACTTGGCAAGACCTCATCTCTACAATAAATCAAAAATTAGCCGGACGTGGTAGCGCGCGTCTGTAGTTCTGGCTACTTGGAAGGCTGAGGCGGAAGGATCGCCGGAGCCCAGCTGGTCGAGGGTGTGGTGGCCGGGAGCGGCCACTGCACTCCAGTCTTGAGTGACAGAGTGAGACTCCAACTCAAAAAAAAAAAAAATGTTGGAGGAATCCAATTCACATATTTAAGCAGCCTTTTATGTGCCAACAAGCATTAACCTGTAGTCCTGATTCAACCAGCAGACCTTCAGTTTGTATTTTTGGATTCATTGATAGTCATGATACCTGCAAAAATATGTTAGGTTTCAGCAGTCTTGGTAGCCAAAGGACTTCATACAAAAAAATTAAGAGCTGGTTGCTCCTGAGGAAGGATGCTGACGGAATAGGAGACAAGGATGATTTCAGGAGACAGCAAGCACTGCAGGCTGGAGCATAATGGTGTGCTGGGGGAGGCTGTGAAGAAGAGTGTATGCCAGCTTTACTTGGGAGGTGAGGTGAGCTTAGCAGGACTACAGGATTCTTCCAAGACAAAGGGTCCTCTCCCCTGCTGTGCTCGGCTCCCCATAGAGTGTTCCTTTCAGGCCTAGGCTGACCGAGGTGCTGTCCTTGCCTCTTGTGCATCCTTTATGGAGAGGAAGGTACTCTGGAAGCAGCTGTCTTCTGTGGTCCTACTTTCCTCCCAGGGGTTTGGGACAGGACCTCTTTGGCCCCAATGAGCTGACATAGTCAGCGTTTCCAGCAAGTCACCCAACAACCTCACAGTACATTGTCTTCAGTGCTTGAGGTCCTGTGCTGCATCACCCTCCCTGTTAGCTTCCAGATGTGACTTTGGGGTCCATCAAGGACTTCCCTTCCATGATGGTGGCTGGCATTCCCTAGGGAGATCCTCAGGTCTTGCATCTCAAAAGTGGTATGAAGAGACTGGGCACAGCAGCTCATGCCTGTAATCCATTTTGAGGTGAGAGGATTGCTTGAGCCCAGGAGTTCAAGACCAGCCTAGGCAACATAGTGAGACCTCGTCTCTACAAGAAAAAAAAATTTTTAATTAGCCAGCCATGGTGGAACATGCCTATAGTCTCAGCTACTTGGGAGGCTGAGATGGAAGGATCGCCTGAGTCCAGGAGGTTGAGGCTACAGTGAGCCATGATCATGTCACTGTACTTCAGCCTGGCTAACAGTAAGACTCCAACTAAAAAAAAAAGTGTGGTAGGGAAGCCTTCCTCTTCAGGCCAGCTCTGTTGCAGACACAAGGGAGGGCATCTGTTTGCAGCACTGTTGGGAGAGGGTTGGGTAGGAATGAGGCAGGTGGTGAACGTTTACACCAATAACTGGAACATGTGGGCCCAGGGAGAGAAAGGGTCACTGTAGACCACTGGATGTTTATTGAAGAGTGGTCAACCTTGTGGAGAGCTCAGGCCTGGCTCACTGTCACTCTCAGATTTGTTTGTTTGTTTTTGAATTGGAGTCTCCGTCACCGAGGCTATAGTGCAGTGGCACACTCGTGACCACTGCAGCCTCAACCTACTGGGCTCAGGCAATCCTTCCACCTCAGCCTTCCAAGTAGCTGGAACCACAGGCACATGCCACCACACCCGGCTAATTTTTTGATTTATTGTAGAGACAAGATCTCGCCAAGTTGCCCAGGCTGGTCTTGAAACCCTGGGCTCAGGCAATCCTCTCGCCTCAGCACTCTCAGATTTTAAGTGGACAGATGGGTTCTAGAGAAAACCTGGGTCTCACATAGCTACTGCACTGGGTAGTAAATGGGACCATGCTGGTACTGAACGAGAGCCTGGGAAGCCAGAGAATAGTCCCCAATATTTAGTTAAAAGCCAAGAGTGCCCAACAATGACTGTCTCACTTGGGACCATTACAGTCCAACTAGATTGGATTCAAGGCTCAGTTAAAGCTTGGGTTTGGTTTCCAGCATCCTCAGGGCAAGTGTGAGCTTTTGGTATTTCTGGAGGGAACTGGGAGGAGTGAGAGAGCAGGCACAGGTAATGATAGAGGGAACAACTTGGAGATGATCCCCTTAATCCTGATGATGGTCTCCCCTCACTAACACTGAGGTCATGCCCTGATGTTTACTTGGTTCTTAGATGTGAATTGGCCATCAGGTTGGCACAATACTGTACATATAAACCGGTGATAAGAAAGTCTCTCCCAGTGTCCTGGGGTAGAGCTGTGCAAGCATGCCAGGGTACTGGCAGGAACTTGAGGATGATGCTGTCTCTGCTTTCAAGGATGCCAACTGACTATGAAGTTAGTGGCTAGAAGGGATGTTTGCTGGGTCCCATTCTCGTCTGTCCTCACCTCCATGCAGAAAAGTAAAGAGAAGCAAGGGCCCTGTTGGGGAGTGGTGGAAGCCAGTGGTCTTCAGACTCTGGTGTTCATGCAAATCCCCTGGGATCTCATTAAAATGTAGATAGTCATTCAATAGGCCTAGGTGGGACCCAAGAGTTGGCATTATTCATAAACACTCAGGTGATATTGATGTTACTGCTCTGCAGAACATGCTTTGAAGAGCAATTTTGTAGGCAGTTGCCTTAAAAATGGGCTGGGGTGGTCAGGGACAGTGTTGGAGAAGAGGGGACATGGACTTTGGTGGATGGCCAGGAAGAGTCAGATTTAAAAAAGGGAAATGACATCTACAAATGTACAGGAGGGAGAAAGCAGAGGCAGTGACCTGATGGGCAGGTTCATGTATAGCTGAGGAAATAGTGGATCCTGCAGGAGCACTTGAAAAGTTTACTTGCCATGATAGAAGGCTCTAGAAAACTGCATAAGGTTGTAACTGAAACTGAAAATTTAAAATAGATCTATGAGCCAGGCCCGGTGGCTCATGCCTGTAATCCTAGCACTTTGAGAGGTAGAGATGAGAGGATTGCCTGAGTTCAAGGGTTTGAAATTTGGGCAATTTGGCAAGACCTCATCTTTACAATCAATCAAAAAATTAGCTGGGTATGGTGGTGCATGCCTGTAGTTCCAGCTATTTGGAAGGCTGAGGCAGAAGGATCACCTGAGCCCTGTAGGTTGAGGCTGCGGTGGCTGTGAGCATGCCACTGCACTCCAACCTGGACGACTCCGTGAGACTCCTACTCAAAAATAGATAGATAGATAGATCGATAGATAGGCAGATGGAAAAAAAAATCTGTGAATGCCAAAGGGTTGAGAAGCTGATTGTGTTCTGGGAGTTCTGGACCCTGGAGTTCTGCACAGTGCCAGACTGTTGCAGATCCAGCTGACAGAGAAGGGCATCGAGACCTAGAAGGAGGGAGAGAGAGAGAGATTTCCTAGAGATGCTGACAGAGGAAAGACTTCTAATAGTCTATAGTTCCTGATTCTGGTAGTTGTTGTTCTAATTGGAGCTTGCACAGTCTTGCTAACTGGCTATTGATTATCTGAAGGTTGGAGAATGACAAATGAATTGGGGTGGGGAATGGATTCAGGCTTCCTGTTCCCACTGTAGCCAAAAGACTGGGTCCTGAGATTCTGCTTCCTGGAATCACAGGGCATGACTCTGTATGTTGGGGAGGAGGGCACTGTGCAGCCTTTGCCCCCACTACCCTTTCTTTACCTGGAGCGAAAAAGCATCAGTTCCCAGTTCCATAGTTAAATCCCTGGTGGGCCCTGGTGTCACTTGTCTGTTACCAGGTACTTGGCTGACCCAAAAAACAGATCCCATCACCCTCTGCAGAGAGCTGTAGGTTGGGAGGGATTTTTCTGGGGTGTTTCCTGGGAGAGGGTACCTCATTAGATCAGTCTCTCTGAGCTGGCTCAGTCTATCTTTTTTTTTTTTTGAGTTGGAGTCTCACTCTGTCACTCAGACTGGAGTGCAATGAAATGATCATGGCTCACTGCAGCCTCAACTTCCTAGGCTCAGGTGATCCTCCTTCCTCAGCCTCTCAAGTAGCTGGGACTGTGATGAGGTCTTACTATGTTGCCCAGGCTGGTCTTGAACTCCTGAGCTCAAGTAGTTCCTGCTTTGGCCTTCTAAAGTGCTGGAATTACAGGCATGAGCCACCACGCTGGCTGGCCCAATCTGTCTTTTTGTTCTGCTGGTCACTGCTTACCCACAAGCATCCC